AATAATTGATCCTAGGTGTAAAGAAATTGGTTTACAATAATTTTTAGAACGTATTTTCGTTGATCAAACACAGTTTGCTCCTATTATGCAAACATGCAATAGATTATTTGAAGAATACAAGGCAGCTGCATCTGAAAATACACCTACATACAGTACACTAGCAATCTCATCTCGAGGCAGAAGATTAAGTGTTTTTTTGGCAATAAAAAGTAGAAGAATATCTCAACATACAAGCGTAAGTAGTTCTGAACTACAATGTTATTTGGAAAGCTCGTCAGTGACTAATTTCAATGATTTTGCCATTTTGGAATGGTGGAAACAAAATGAAACTATGTGGCCTATGGTTTCACAGATGGCCCGTGATATACTAACCGTTCCTATTTCTACAGTTGCTTCACAAATAGTTTTTAGTTCAAGTGGATGGGTGCTGAGCGATTCCCACAGCAGGCTTTCACCCCAAATGGTTGAGGCACTGATGATATCCAGAGTAGGTGCCAACCTAGTTGGGATGTACTTTACCTATAGTGATGCAATTGCTCTACCATCATCAATAATCTACACCTATTTTATTTAATGATATAATTTTTTTGTAATATTTTATTTCATTTTGAAATAAAAATTATTCATTCAATAAATGCTATATAATTAATTTAATATTGTAATATTGAAAGTTTCATTTTTATATACATAAAATTATTCATTTCGAAAGAAAAAAAATTACATAATTGCATAATTTTTTCATTATAAGTTTATAAATAAAAAAACATAAGTCATACATAATTAAGTTTAAGTACCACCATGAAACATAACCAAACAAAACATCTCATTAATCTTAACTAAAATACTTCAGTATAATTTTTCTTTTATTTTTTATCCCTAATAAATAATCTACATAGATAATGTATTTATTGTTCATTTTTCCAAAAAAAAAAAAGAAAGGCCCGAATAGGCTCAGCCCTAGGCCCTATTATGAGTGGGCATGGCTAAAAAACGGGAGCCCACGAGGCTCGGATAGGCTAGGCCATTATTACATCCTTAAGACAAGCGAATTTTCAATTACTGTAGAGTTACACCAAAGATCAATATTAAATTCTTATCTTTTTTCTTTAGTTATGGATGAGTTGACGAGAAATATTCAAGATGATATGCCATGGTGTATGCTTTTTGCAGATGATATCGTGTTAGGGGATGAGACTATAGAAGAAGTTAACTTTAAGTTGGAGACATTGAGAGAAACACTTGAATTTAAAGGATTTAGGATAAGCAAAACTAAAACAGAGTACATGGAGTGTAATTTTAGTTTCATTAACAATGGAAACAAAGGAGAAGTGAAGATTGGGAATCAAGAATTACCTAAGAGTGAGCATTTTCGTTATTTAGAATCGATTATCACAACGGTTGGGGAGATTAGAGCGGATATGGTCCATTAAATAAGACAGGGTGACTTAAGTGGAAGAGTGCGTCTAGAGTATTGTGTGATAAATGGGTACCCACTAGACTAAAAGGAAATTCTATAGAACAACTATTAGACTAGTGATGTTTATGGGACGGAATGTTGGGCAACTAAAAAACATGTTGGTAAGATGAGTGTTGTTGAGATGAGAATGCTAAGGTGGATATGGGGCAAGACTCGAAAAGACAGAATTAGGAATGAGTATATTCATGAATGAATAGGAGTAGCACCGATAGAAGATAACTTGAGAGATAATAGATTGTGATGGTTTGGTCATATACAATGGAGGCCAACAGAGGCAGTAGTGAAGAGATGTGATACAATGACGGTAGATGGAAGTGTTTAAGGAAATGAGTAAACCTAGATTGACGTGGATGAGTGTAGTAACTAGAGAGATAAATTTCCTTAAGTTGACTAACTAAATGGTCATTGATAGAGTGGGTGTTTGGGAAGTTCCAATTTTAGTAGGCTATTTTAGTTTTTGGCTATTTTAGTAGGCTAAAATTTTTGTGTTTGGAAAGATGATTGATTTTTTTTGTAGTTGGATATGATGTTTGTTAGAGAAAAAGTGAAATGATTATAGGTTTGACAGCCGACAGAAAGTACATTTGTAGAAAATTTCAAAATATGCAAAACAAATGAAAGAGAAAAAGAGGAAGAACAATGTATGGAACTTAGTAGTAGGAATCGTCTCAGATGCCTACAAATCGGAGGAAGAAGTGCGATTTTGAGGGAGAAATGTGAATCTGGACTGCTCTCTGTTTCTGAGGGAGAACTGAAGAAAATTCTAGGTTGCTGTCTATCGCTCTCTCTCTCTCTCTCTCTCTCTCTCTCTCTCTCTCTCTCTCTCTCTCTCTCTCTCTCTCTCTCTTTCTATTTATTTTGAGATCATTTATTATATCTTATTTAAAGATAATAACTTTCTGTATTTTAGAAAATATCACTTCCCTATTTTTATTGGTCTTTGTGTTTTACAAATTCAAGAATATCACTTCATTATTTTTATTGGTCCTTGTGTTTTGAAGATTCAATAATCTCACTTCATTAATTTTTTGGTGTCTATAAATATTATTATAATGTTTGAATTTATTAAGAAAAATATTTTTTTATGTCGTATTTAATTAATTAAATATTACATAAAAATGAAAAAATTTTAACTCATTTATAACATATTTATATATCAATTAAAAATAAGAAAAAAAGTTTATATAGATAAATTAAAAATATTTTTAATAAAAATAATATATAAACGCTCCCAAACTACGACTGTTCTAAGTGGTCACGATTTTGCGCTCCCTCTCCTGCTTTGTGCAACTAAGGTATGGAACCTTTCCAAGTCAGCAAAGAAAGAGAATCATAGCTACTCTTATTTTATACTTATCAGAGCAAGGAGTGTGAGAACAAAACAGACTAGAGGAACTTGTGATATGATCAGTAGTGCACTTTAGGAATACCTGTACGAGCAAAGTTAGAAGAAAAGGAAGGGTATGGAGCTGTGGTAGAGGAGGTATCAAGACAGGCCGCCAAATGCCTGAGAGTCTTTAACTCATCCTGAGAAAGAGAACCAGTATCATTAGAAGTGCTTGGCTGTATCAAACATATGGACATGGATCTCACAGCAGCACCTCTGTTACTTTCTCGCTTTCGACAAGGGTGGCCATGCAACTTCCAACAGTACTCTTTACCATGTTGATCCTTCCAACACTAATCACACTTCAGCTGATTCGAGTCATTTGTGTTACTCTTTCATATTTTGGGTTGGCTCAATTTGTCATCCCATAAAGTAGAGGTAACTGTCAAAACTGAGCAATCATGACTAGGAATATGGACCTTAGCAATATGCTTGCTCTCCTCCTTTAACATGCAAGCATAGGCCTCTTTATACTCCATACTAAGAGCGGCAAGAAACTCATAGACTTGCTCTCTTTCTTCACCATCTGATGAAATGTAGCTGCATCCTTGGGGCAAATAGCTAGAAAATTCTGATTGTAATCATGCTCCTCCCACAAACTACTCAAGTCAATGTAATACTTTGCAAGAGGCTTATCTTTCTAATCAAATCCTTGAATGTTCTTCCACAACACATTAGCATATGCATCATGACCCCTTTGGGAATACACTTGTGCTGCTCTTGTCCAAATATCATATGTTGTATCCATCAAGACAAGGGTACGACTAATGTTACATTGAATAGAATAAATCAGTCAAGTCATAGCAAGAGCATTCTCTTATTGCCATGCTTTATGTGCTGACCCATCAACCTTTGGATCCTTAATAGTCCTTGTAATGGTACCTCATGTCATCTCGCAAGCAGTTATACCCAAACTAAGGGCACAGGCCCAAACCAAATAGTTAAGTGTCATCCAACTTAATATACTTAGTTTGAAGAGAAGGATCCACTTTAGCAGAGGTAGTCTGAGAAGATGGGTTATCACCAAGAGACATCACAACTCAATTGCCTCTCATCACTTCCCATAGGAATTTTACCTTCTCTGTCATTTATGTAAGAATGAATAGCACAATATCACCACTCAAAATGGTACAAGAGCCCAAAAATCAACAAAACTAAACGAAGATTCATTCTTCACGAAGGCAACTTACCCAACACAGAAAGTTCATAGCAGCGAAACAATCCTTAGTAGCTCAAAAATTGAGGATAAATTAACAAAGAAGACTTACTGAGGTGAGAAAAAGTCGTAGCTGCATGTCCTTAGCAAAATATGATTAAAAAAACATCAAAACTTCAAAAAGAAAACCTTTAAATGGTAGAACAAGTTTTTTGATGGTCTAGATTTTTGCTTGCCATGCCTTGGCTATTTCTCGCTCAGATTGTTTATCTAATTTGTTTGATTGCTATTTCTTCTTAATTTCCAGTTTATCGAGTTTACTCTGAAATATGTGAACTGCATATATAATATATATTTCATGTGTGAACATCAGTAAAATGAGGCTATAATGGTTTTGGGAGATGGTGGTCTGTATCTGGAGAGGGATATGGATTATTAATTGTCTAGTCCTGCTTCTCAGATTGCCCTAAGAGATTCATTTTCTAATATGCTGTCAGGTTTACCAATATGATATATGCTTGCCCGAGGATGAGGGATTAGATCCTAGAGGGGAGTGTCCCTTATGATCTGAAAGCTTCATAGACCGTGTTTACTTATTTTTTCCCGTATAGCGTGAATGTTTTTGTTAGTATTTTTCTGTTTGACATAGTAAGGAAACATTTATCAAATAAAAAATGCTCTGTGAAATGGCATGTGTTTAACCATTCTTTTGAAATGAAAGAGCATATGTTTAACTTACTCAGCCATGGTTAATTTATTTACTGCCTTTCTTCCATAAAATTGGACTCACCTATTAATAGAGCCAAACTGTATGTGTAATGGAAATTATTCGTGGAACTTAACTAATTTGAATAAAATTTAGTTAAACCGATCTAAATTTGTGTTGCAGTTAATCTACCTTTACAGAATCACTAATTGAAATGATGCAGGTTTTGGAGACAAGTAGTTAAGTCGGAAGGTTATCTGTTTCTACTGCATCTGACATGCCTTACAAGGAAATGGCTAGCCATTGTGAAGCCCTCCAAAAGGGAAAGCAACGGAAAATGTCTGATTTTATGGGTTCCCAGGAGATCCCGGACAATCTATTGAGCCAATATTGTCATGATTTTAACCAGGCAACGCATGTGCCATCTCATTCCCAGGTTGAGCCGGATTTCCCTATAGTACTTCCATACTACCTGAAATGTTATGATTTCACCTAGTCAGAAGAGGCAGAAAACAGAAATAAAAGTTGAATAAAGAATATAAGGGGAAAAAAAAAAGAAAAAAAAAAGAAGAAGAATAAACTTTCCTTGTAGCTAGTTTTCATTTCTGTGCTACTGGTAAATACTATCACTTTACTGGATGGCTGGCAAATACAACCAGGCATGCTTCTGTGAGAAGCTTTGATTTTATTGTTTCTGTAACAATAGAATACTTTGGATTGATTTAATGATAATTACAAGCACTAATATATAGTTTCTGAGACTAAACCCTAATTATAGTCCAAGTACTAAACTACCCTTATACTGGAGAAATACTTCCAAAACAGAATAATAATACAACTCTCACAATTCCTTGGTGTCAGGTAGTTTTGTATCACATGGTTTTAAATTAATCACATGTAGATTTCTGGGTATCGTAGGAAATTTGCCCCTCTTACAGCGTGCCTGCATGCGAATCTCAGTATGTATGTTTTTGCATATGCTGAGTTCTGATCATGGAATCATTTGAATTGCAGAGTGGGAATCCATTCCTTGACCAGAACTTCAGTGCTAACCCAGCTATAGGTATGACGCCAATGCTGTGCGCAACCAAGTACCAGCATCATCCCGACTTCTTTATGCTACCGGCAGCAAGCCCTTTTGATCACTTTCTGAAGGCTGCTGGTAGTTGAGATTCCAAATGGCCAAGAGAATGGATAAAGCATGTTTTAAACTCAAAGGGGTTGAAGGTCTAATAGTGTAGCAGAGGCTTAAAAGGAAGGACTTCTAGCACTGGCAGTTTTCTAAATTTGCACTGCTGGTTGCTATTGTTGTTGGCAGAGAAGGTTTATCTTCTTTTCTTTTCTTTTTTTTTGGTCATGAGCTTAGTGAATTTGTTGCCAATTCATTTAAGATGCCTTCATTCATGTGTTCTTTTTCTATATTTTGTAGGAGAGGGAATGCTTTTTTAATTAAGTTCCTCCCGATTGTTTTTCTCAGTCAATGAAATGTATATGATGCCCTATTTCAAGCCTCGGGTTGTATATTAATATATCCATTGTATTATAATTTTGGGTTATGATAATTGCAATTCAATGGGTTGCCATTAAGCAAAAGTAATGAAAATGTTTTTAAAATGTGAATTTCAAGGGAATTTTTGACACATTTTAAAGTACTTCTACATGTTTTTAATGCTTTTTTCTTTTCTTTTCTTTTTTTGTGGAGGGGGGGGGGGGCCTTCGATTTTTCTGAAATGGGTGTTACGCATCGTTGTGACAGAAGGGTACATTGATGTGATTAGGAACATGTATAAAGATGTGGTGACCACTATTAGATAGCTTGCTAGAGAGACAAGTGAATTTTCAATTACTATAGAGTTACACCAAATATCAATCTTAAATTCTTATCTTTTTGCTTTAGTTACGAATGAGTTGACGATAAATATTCAGAATGATATACCATGATGTATGTTTTCTGCAGATGATATCGTGTTTGTGGATGAGACTATATGAGTTAACTTTAAGTTGGAGACGTGGAAAGAAACAATTGAATTTAAAGGATTTAGGATAAACAAAATTGAGACAGCGTACATGGAATGTAATTTTAGTAATAGTAACAATGGAACGAAGATTGGGAATCAATAACTACCTAAGAGTGAGCATTTTTGTTATTTTGGATCGATTATCACAACGGTTGAGGAGATTGGAGTGGATATGGTCCATTAAATAAGGCAGGATGACTTAAGTAGAAGAGTGCGTCTGAGGTATTATGTGATAAACGAGTACTTACTAGACTAAAAGGACAGTTCTATAGAACGGCTATTACACCAGCGATGTTTGTGGGACGGAATATTGGGTTACTAAGAAATATGGGTGTAAATTTGGCCCTGGCCTGGCCCAAGTCGGACCTCGCGGGCTCCTACCAAAATTCGGGCCGGGTTGGTACATGGGCCAGAAAATTAGGCCCACGCCCAGGGGGTATTCGGGCCTTAGGCAGGCCAATGGGTCTGGACCTAGGCCTAGGCTCAGGCTTGGGCAGGTCTGAACATTTTTTTTGTTTATTTTATTTTATTTTATTTTTATCAAAATTTTATTATTTTCTACTAAAAAAGACACTAAGCCTCGGACGGGCCGAACCTTGAGTGCGCTTTAAGCGGGCCGATGGGCCGGACTTCAAAATGATAGCCCAAGCCCAGGCCCAAGGTCTTGGGTTGGGCTCGAGCTCGAGCTCGAGCTCGGGCTGGGGCTCGGGCCCAAATAGCCCTAAACGGGTCCGGCCCAACCCAGGCAGGCTTCGGGCCGCTCACAGGCCGTAGGCCATTTTTACACTCCTACTAAGAGAAATATGTAGATAAGATATGTGTTGCAGAGATGAGGATGCTAAGATAGATGTGTGTCAAGACTAGAAAATGCAGAATTAGGAATGAGTATATTCGTGAATAAGTAAGAGTCGCACCAATAGAAGATAAGTTGAAAGAAAATTGATTGAGATAGTTTAGTCATATACAATAGAGGCCAACAAAGGTGGTAGTGAAGAGAAGTGATATAATAAGGGTAAATGGAAGTGTTAAGGAAATGAGCAGACTTAGATTGACGTGGATGTGGATGACTGCAGTAAAGAGATAGATAAATCTCCTTAAGTTGACTAACCAAATGGTCGTTGATAGAATCAAGTGGAGTGGAGAAAAAGGATTTATATGGCTGACCCTATTTGATGGAACCTAAGGTTTGGTTTGGTTTGTGAAGCAAGTTATTTATAAAGTTTCACCATTCACTAGCTAGCATTTGTGTAATCAAGTCGTTGTGATGCAACGTTGATCGTGCCTTGCTGCATCAAAAGACAACCCAAACTACCCCTAGAGGCACCATAATAGGCTTGGCGTATTAAAGACAACCCAAACTTGAACAGGTTCCACGAAGACTACCAGCTTGATACCTCCTTAACCTTGCTCCAATCCACTTACTCATCCATCAAATATAATGGTCATGTTTCGTTTGTTTTTTGAGAAAAAATTTCAGAATTTTTTTTTTGAAAGTAGAAACTAATTTGATAAAAATAAATATCAAAAAAAAAATTGAAAATTATTTTTGGCCTTTCAAAAGATAAATTATATAAAAATGATAAATGTTTTTATTTTTTTTTATTTCTTTCACCAAATTAATTTTAAGTTTTTTAGAAAAAAATTCTAAAACAAATTTCTGAAAATCAAATAAAAAATTTCACCTAGTCGACCCAAACTCGCACTTCTCATACTTGGCAAACAACGGATTGTCCCACAAGACTTAGAGATATCCTCCAAGAATGCAATAAAATAAATAATTACTTTATTATTATTAAGGAATTGTTTTTTTAAAATCCTATTTCTAATACTTATGTACTAATTAGCCTAAGTTAATTTCTTATAACCCATTTAGTCATGTAGCCATTCAAAATATAAAATATCCCAACTTCAGATAGTACAAAAAATAGAAACTAAATCTATATTTTAGGAAAAAATCACTCTAGTTTGAATACTTACCCCATTTGAATTAGAATCTATATATTAAGAGAAAATCATGGAAGCTAATAAACATCCTATTTAAAATCTTACTGTTCATATATATGTAATATTGTGAATTTTTTATAAATGTGAGAGCATCTCCAATGCACTAGGTATATAATACTTGTTAGTTAAAATGCCTAGTGTGATTCACTTTTTTCAATTCCAACGCACTAGGCATATGATTAGGCATTTTGGCTCAACTCATATTCACTAGCTACATGTAGCTAGCCTTCAACGCTAGGCAAAATATATTCAATCATTAGGATCATTTCCCTCCATCTTTGTTGTTGACGTGGCATTCTATAAAATTAATAGTATTTGGATTAATAGCTAAAATAAAGAGCATGGTTGGAGTAAAAACATAAAACAGTTGATAGGCAAAATAAAATATATACTTTATAGTAATATTTAGATAGGTAAAATGCCTACTACCGTTGGAGATGCTCTGAAAGTTGAAAATGTAAACATTCATGCTTTTAAAAATAAAATAATGTGTATTTTTAAAATGAAAGCGGTAAGTGTAAATATTTACATTCAAAATAGTGACATAAAAGTAAGTATTAAATTTCATACTTTCGATCAATAAATTTACTAAAAAGTTATAACGTCACACTTTTTTAACCGAAATTATACAAATTATCAAATAAAAACTGTGAACATTTATATTATGAAAATTGTCATATTATGAATTTTCACACTTTTTTATGATGTGAAAATTTAAAAAAAATGCAATAAAAAATCAAAATATAATGTGAATATTCACAATAAACAATAAACATATAACTAGTTTTTTAAAAAAATAAAACTCATACCACAATACAATGTAAATGTTCACAGTTTACAATTGACATACCACTGACCTTAAAAAAAACTAAATTCATACCAATGTGCATTCATACTGCAAAGTGAAAACATGAAACAAAATTGAAAAAGTGAAAATTGACTATTTCAATTATTCAATGGTAACAAAAATGATTGTTCAAGCAACAAGTATAGTAACAAAAATAACAAACATACAACTAGTCTTTGAAAAAACAAAACTCACACTAAAATACAATGTGAATGTTCACAGTATACAATTAAAATACAACTAGCCTTAAAAAAACTAAATTCATACCAATGTGAACATTCACATTGTAACGTGAAAGATGAAACAAAATTTAACAAAGCAAAAATCGACTATTTTGATTGTTCAATGGAAACAAAAATGATTATTCAATCAACAAGTATAATAACAAACAATATACAACAAATCATCAAATAATATATAAAAAATGATCAAATAGTTCAAATATATTGATGCACATTTTTAGAAAAATCTATATATAATCAACATCAGCATAATATCGATGAATAAATTACACAATACAGGTGATTACACAAACTGACGAAGAGACAACAATTTGTGTATAACAGTGGCAAAAAAAATGATAGTTCATCGCCGGTTTACCATCATCTCTATCGTCGGTCTACAACTAACCTTCTTTTTCAAATATTCTTCCATGACAGAACTTTATTGCAAAATAATGGTGAAGGAAGATATTTGATAAAATGAATCCCTCACATTGACATTGAGGCAAAGAAAATAATATTTTTTTTCATATTCTATATACAATATTTTACATATACCATAAATGAAATGTATTTAATATTTGATCTTCTCTCTCCTAGATGTATCGTATAATATATATATATATATATATATCTATTATAATAAAAACCTATAAGGGTAAAATAACTCACATAATACTTCTAATATGAGAAAAAGAACTTATTGGAATAAGTTCAAATGTATGGGATTAATTAAGATAGAATAATATGTTATGGACCAAATGGAGTACAAGTCCATCAAAATGGATTAGAACTCTCCATTTAAAAAATAATTTTATATGTATGTACACATTACATACACAAACATAATTCAACTAAAATGATCACATATATTTATTTAAGTTACACATTTATAGCTGATAAGACTATTATTTTTTGGAAAAATTGCAAAAAAAAAAAAAAATGGAGGGAACAAATAAATATTGCAAATTAGTGAGGTGTTCCCCAAACTTGCAGTAAAAATGAAAGGAAAAAAAATGCAAAAACATGGTGCAATGGACTAACAAGACTGAAATACCCTTGCCTTCTTCTTTCTCTTCTTATCCCTCTACAATTTCAATGGCCACCACCCACCATTGACCACCGCATTCCCTCTTTCACCCTACCACCCCCAAAGACCTCTTGCCACCACAACTCGTCCCTTACTCCACTCTTGGCACTGTAGCCACCTGTCCTACCTTTTCATTTCTCTTTCACGACACCACTCCTCTACTATAACCAACTGATGATGACTCTTCCTTTGTCCTGTGCCGCCCTACCTAGATATGAAAAATCTAAAATCACAACCCCAGAGAGACCTAGGGTCACGGTTGTTGGGGCAAGATCTGATCATTGTTGTTGAGGTGTGATCCACCC